AAGTTTCATCATAACATACTATAACCTATCATATGTATCTATCTATATTGTGTGGTTGTTATACATGAAAAGACAAAGTTAATATACTGCAAACAAGTTGATACTCGGTAAGTGTAGCAAGAGAGTTTTATTCTTTCAGTGCATGTCCTAATTTCACTCACTCACTCAAGTTTAAGGTTCGAATCTATGTAATCTTTGACCATATCCCTTAAAAGAGCCACAATAGCTACAATGACAGAAAACAACACACTTTGTGTGCGTATTGTGACAATAACAACCGGACTGTGTGTGGGGTACTGGTATTCATGTGCGAGATTTGATGGCACATATGGCTGCAGATGCATGTCGTCTGGTACGTAACGTCAAAAAGCATAATCCTCATAATAATGGGCGGACTCTGTACACAAATGTAGATGTTTGTGTAAATGATTTTAAAACAATATAACGATGACGAGTACTTTTTGAATGTCATCATTTTTCAAAGATAACAAAGATTTTAAGTCAAAAAGAGTTTTCGAGCAGAACGAAAGGGCTATTGTTGGTGTTGTCACTTTTTGCCCTTTTATTCTTTTCCATTCCATTCATATATTTTGTTCCTTTAACTTGTTTATACCTGATGCGCATGTTAAAGTGCTTTAATATTTAACGCGCTGCCTACAGATTCTTTTCACTTTTTTTTTTTTTTTTTTTTTTTAAAGTTTGTTTTCACAATTGCTTGACCAATTGATATATTTTTGTGTTCATTGGTGGCGTTCATGCCGTAAAATGTTTAAGCAAAGCAATCAAATAGAAAGTTGCGAGATGTCATTTGTGTTCAACTTGGAAAGAAGTGAGGAAGGAGAACAAGATAGGGAGATGATGGGCGTAAACTAGTGGATGTGCCCACAATTGCGAAATGTTACTCCCTTAGGGACTGACAACTCATCCTAGCTACGACCGATGTCAACTCTTCCATGTCAAGAAAGAGATATTTTTGGTGAATTTCAATATGATTTTTTTTTTAATGAGATTTGCACGTCTCCAATTGCTAGGCGCACCTGACTGTACGATAGCCATAGCAATGTACCTTTTCAACTCAGCTAGCGATCAAGAGGTGGCGCTACTGTCTCCAAGAAAAAAAAAAAAATACCTCGCGGTCGTACTTTAAAAGGCGCTTTCTTATTTTTAACTGGGATGTTACCATGCGACTGAAAAAGGATGAGTGAGCGAATGCACCGAAATATTTCTCCGATTAGCTTAACATATAATCTCTGTATCTATCCTTTGTTTAGAAATTATTTTCCACTCATATAAACGCGAAAATCATATTTATACTGATTGACAGTTTGGTTATTGGCTTGGTTAGCGCCTGGTGTGTTGTTCGCATGTACTCGCCTTCGTTGCTGGACGATAATATATTTTTGATGAGTTTTTACTTTTTTTTTTTTTCTTTTTGTTTTAATTTGGTTTTTACCATTAATTACAACTAATTCTTTGAGTTCTATTCTGTTTTGTAATGTTTTGGGCCCTGCTTGACTCTTTACTGCACTTATATGGCAGCTATTTACTTCATTGTGTTGTTGTGGTCGCTACGTCCGCAATGGTTAATGCATGATTGTTTAATAATGTGTAATATATACAGATGTGTATACATGTATTTAGTTATGAGCAACACAGCAGTTACACTGTATACCGTTCATTGGTGTAAAACAAACTAAAGAAAACATTTATAATTTAGTTAACAGCATGTCGCCCATGTGACTCTTTTTCGATATGAAAACAAAACCGCATACATATACATAGACATACATCCATGTACATATTATATATATAATATGCATATATATGATACGTATACGTAAACCCGAGTGAGTCAGTAGGATTACTAACCGTTTTCATTTCGCTGACAACTGACATATTTACACGTGCAAACATCGTCTGAAACAAGCTTGTAAATTATTTATGTTTAATTTCACATGATTTTTATTGTATTGTATATATACATTATAAACATATATATGTAGGTATGTTTGCTTCTTTATGGGCACCTATGCATTTTGTTTTTTTGCCCTTTAGTACTCGCTCTGTTTTGATTCTATTGTTTATTTTTGCTACGTGCGACATTCATACATATCTATTCCCTCGGTGTATGCGACTATAATTTCATACTAAAACATGAATTTAGTTTTATTGTAATCTTACAGTGAATATATACATACCTTTCCCACTTTATGACCTTTGTCGTTATTTCGTTGTATATTGCATTCACTAAAACAACAACTATATTTTTGAATTATTTATTTAATGATATTAGTGTATATATATGTATATGCCGGTAGAGAGAAATTGTTAACAATACATATATATATATATATATATATATTTTACTTCTTTTTTTTCATTTTTTTTTTTGGGCAAAGAAAAGCACTACTTGTCGTAAATGTATTACTTGCGTTGCGGCTATTACATCCTACACAACTTATGGTACAGAGTATATTCAGTTTGTGCGGACGTATGTAACACGCAGAAGCAATTAATATAGAGAGTCACCTTTTCGACCAGTTTCGATATAGCGCCCTCTTTTGAAAAGTCGTCATACGAAAAATAATTGCAATGATTAAAATTTTTCAATAAAACTCGCTTGGCTTCGGCTGGGCCAATTTTTTGAATCCTTTCTCATACAACAGTGCCTACGAAAACTGAAAAAGGTAAAATTTTTTTTTATTTCATGGTGAACATTATTTCATAATAGGAAATTGGTATAGAAATCAACCTTACCGAATTTGGTCCACCTAGGTCTATTGTTTTTGGATACCATCGAATAGAAGGATTTCTCTAATCTGCGCATTTTTATGAGAAGTATGCCTTTATATGAAAATAATGTGTATCCTTTGGTGTATTATTACCAAAACGAGGGAATAACCGTATTAGGTGAAGTGATGTTAGGGTATTTAATAGTCGGCCTTGTCCGAGTATAATGTTGCTATTTGTTTTAACATTTAGCTTAATTCAAAAATAAAGGTAATTTTGTGAATAAATGTGCTTAACAATAAGAAAAAAATCTATAATTGACTTAAAGCGTAGCTTTTAATTAGCTTACATTCAATATTTAGTTGTAAAGTAAACAATTCACTCTTTAAACTAAGTAGGAAAAGAATGTTTTTGTTTTCTTCAAATTTCGACTTTTATCGACTAATTATCGATATCGTAGAAGTAACAGTGGCATAAATAGTTAAGGTTTTCCTAGTACTATAGGCCTGTCTGTTCGCTGTTTACACCGATTAACGCTTTTAAATTGTAGACAATCCTGCTTAATGCTGCCTCAAGGGGAAAACTCGTATTGGTTTTTTAATCAAATTCAAACACATTTTGCTTATGTTCTAAATGAACTTCTTCTTTTTCATTCACGTCAGCTAAATATAACTAACTGTCAGAATGCCTTATAATCTAGTGGTTAAGGGGCGCTGCGTGAGTGCCGCGCATCCAGATTCAGTCGCAGACGCCGTTGACTTTTTCATTGTACTATACATATATATATATATATATATATATATATAGATTTTGTCATTATGTCAAGATTCAAGTTTGATCAACATTAGTTTACATTACAGTTCAATTAATATAAGGGCGCCATTAGATGTATTCGTGCATAGGAAACACAACAATTCGCCAACAGCCAGTGTAAGTCTCATATTTTTGATAAATTCGTCTTTATTCATCAACGTAATCTCCTTCGAGGATGATACAATCAGTCCACGCCTTCTCTAACATTACCATGTCTACGTATGCTTTTCATCAAGTTCCTAAAAATAAACTTTTCCGCTGGAGCGTCTTTTTGAGATTTGCAAACTGATAATCGTTAGCTAGGGTCAGAATTGGCTAATAGGGTATGTGCCGCGGAAGCTTGAACCTCAGTTGCCCAAAACCTTTTTCTGTTGCAATTCGCTACATCGCGTTGGAGAAAGGCACCGTTTTTGACAAATTCTTCCCAAAGTCGAAGCAAAAGTCCCATTTAGTATTCGCTATTCATTGTTCTTCTTTTTTCGTAGCAGTATAGTATCCATGGATAGAAAGTAATGTGAGCATTCCAAAGTGCGGAGATCATAACTTTGTCGACTGAGTATTGCGATCTTGACCGCACAGTTTCCACCAGGTTCTTGCCACTCAGTGGACTATCAATTCACTTGAAGAGTATAATGATTGGCTTTCGTTTCATCCATTAGCTCATGAAAAATCCTTACATGATCAGATCGCAATTTTCGAGATATTTTAATGAAATCCCGTATACCGACGTGCTTTGAACCGAGGATGAATGCTATTCAAAATTGTGTGAATCGGTCTACTTTTTCGACCGCTGTCCATACAACGTCCAGTTTTGAATAGTCATTAATATGAAAAAATTTGCAATGATCAAAATGTCTCTACAAAAGTGGCTAAGCACGGCCTTCTTGCGACTTGCTCGCAAGAATTTTCAATTTTTTTGGTAAATTTGAAAGCGAAAGTTTCATTTTAATCACCTGGAGAATATTTAAAACCGGCATTACACGGATCTTAGAGCTGGTTTCAAAATCTTATGCACAATCTCTCAACGCAAGTATGTCCCAAATTTTGGATCGAAAATATTATTTCGAAAAGTGCCTAATTCATTCAATAATCTGAAAATTCAATGTCACTAAATAGCAAAATAATACTGAACTGAAAAAAAAAATCCGTGCAGTGTGTAATACATTACAGAGTAATAAACTGTATGCAGCAAGGAAAGAAAAAATTAAATTTCAAATTAACAAAGCAATCTAACCACATTTGAAATACGATAAAAAATCAAATGACAAATCGACAAAAGGGGAAAAATATAGACGTCAAAAATTTATTATTAGTTTCAAATAAGTTCGAAAGAGAACCATATCTAACTTACAAAGAGAGTTGAATAGTATTTGAAAAAATAGCAGAAACCTATTTACTTGTATTTTGAGTGGAAGGTGAATTGTCGCAGCGAGTTCGTCGTCTGATTTTTAAAACAAATGTCGTTTTTCTTGCGCAACATTTGTATGTTTGATGGTTGCGGACGGTTATTTCCCAACCTAAGCGATTTGATTCGACATATTGAGAACAGTCACATCAACGATGACCCCAAAGTTGTTGAACAATTGGAGCGGGCGCAACCAGCCTGTCTGCCATTAAGCTACGTCTTACCTTTTATGCCAGATGGGGCACGCAAGGAGACTGTTTGCCCAAACAATAATGCTGCTGACGCCGACTCGAAACCGAAGGCGACGAATAAGCGTCGTAACTCTGTTATGCCATCATCAAATCGAAGCACCACTCCGACTGGTAGCGAAATGGATGAAGACGAATATGTTGGCTCGGAATCAGAAGACAGCGATGACTCTTGGACAACTGAAGAGTTTAGCTCCACCTTCATTATGCGTTATGGTAGCAGATACTCGAAATCCAGTAGCAATGGGGCATTCAGAAATGAGAAACCATTTGCTTGCCCTGTTCCGGGATGCGAGAAACGTTACAAGAATGTTAATGGAATTAAGTATCATTCGAAAAAGGGGCATAAGAATAATGGGAAGGTACGTAAACGTTATAAGTGTCATTGTGGTAAAAGCTATAAAGCTGCGCAGGGCTTGAAGAGTCACGCTTTAATGATACACAATTCATCGCCCAAAAATGTTCTTTCCATTCCAAAAGCAAGTGGTCCCCTTGAGGGTGCCGTATTGCAGCGAAAACGATCGATATCTCAGTCGAATTCATTAAGTCCATCAAGCATGAGTAACATATCGAGCGGCGCAAGCAGTTCCCAGGGCAATAGTGGCGATAGGCGGGTCAATACCGCTCATGTTGGTAAGCATTTGCTGCAGCAGCACGTTCCAATCCGCACTAGTGTCAATGCAAACACAGCACAGCAACAACAATACAACTATGCTATCAACGCTCCTCCCCAACAGGTTGCGGGCATAACAGATGTACGTGCGACTACTCCAATACAGTTCACTCTTGAAGCATCTAGTATACAATCATGTTCATCCTCTTCGTTTGGCGGACAATTGCTAACAACAACTGTTATACATCATCAACGTTTAACTACTATCGATCCGAATAACTGTTTTTATGCTGCGCAAGCACCAGCAGTACAAGCGGCACCACCAACTATTATAACGGCGGCAGCGACAAGTACCGATGCAACATCAGCAAGAATTTATCCACCGACAATATCGCCCACTTTCATCGAGCATAAATATTCGCCCAATAGCATCAAAGAGAAAATGTTTTCTAATCTTCGTCAACACAGCTGTGAGGGCAATGAAACCAAGAATGTAAAGCCCACTAAAACCCCCAAGGGCAACAGTAACAACAATTGTAAAAGCAACGGCGAAGATAAAGGTTCTGGAGGTAAGCATAGCGATCGTAAGGTCGGTCGTCGTGGCAATTAATGCTCAACGGAAGCTGGAGGGACAAGTCAAAACAATTTATCTAAGAAAGCAACTAAAGGCAATGATGCCACAAAAAGCTGTAAAGAGAAGTAATTTTGATGTGTAAAAATCTAAAATATTATGTGGGTACAAAAATGGAAATACAACATTTTGTCAAAAATTACAATCAATAAAAACAAAACCAGGGAGTTAGTTTCCTTCGCTTTTCAGAAAAATATGGTCAACTCATTTCTTAACCTTCTACTGACGCTTATGTAATCGATTGTCGTGTGATTAATTATAACCTCATCGGTATTTTTGAAAGAGAATGCAGGAATAAAACGTCGGCCGGATGCAATTGATTATATAAAGGGAAATCTATAGAAGAAAAATTGAATTGTTTAAATGTAGAAATGTAATGTGTATTTATTTACATGGCAGTATCAAAAGGCAAGGCAGCATCATGCATCTGGCGGTTGAGGAAAAGACAACGCACCGCTGGAAGTGTAGCACGTAAAAGGCTAAGTGCATTCGACGTAAGCTCTCTCGTGACATTTTGTATAAAAAATGCGCATCAGCTTGTAGTAATATACGACAATGATCAAATTTTAAAAATATCACTTCCATTACATATTTAACTTCTTGGCCATCTTACTCCATCAATTCCGGAGGGAACACCATGTATATTGAAAGATTTTCAAACTGGGAAACTCAATGCTTGATAATTTCACAAATAACTCATTTTAGGTTTCTTCGCTTTCTTCATAGCCGCAGTCGACTTTCCAATGTCGAGCGTGACTGTGGGATAAAATGGCCTAATCGAGAAATTCTTAATGGAGAAAGGTAAGAGAGAGAGATAGACAGATAGATAGATAGATAGATAGATAGATAGATAGATAGATAGAGATAGAGAAAGAGAGAGAGAGAGAGAGAGAGAGAGAGAGAGAGAGAGAGGGAGAGAGAGAGAGAGACAGGCTTCAGCCTATGAAAGGACCTACGAAAGGAAGCCACGATTGAACAAGCGATTATAACTTTTACTTCCCTTTCAGCCTATGAAAGGACCTTCATTTACAATTTGAAGAAGCCACGATCGAACAAGCGATTATAACTTTCGCTTTACTTTTCAGTTCAAGTTTATGCAATTTCAATTCAATCCGATTTTATCATATATAAATTTTAAATAATTTAGTCTAAATTCAATTTCAATCTTTTTCAGTTAATTCATTCAAGTCATATTCAGTTAAGACAACATTTTGTACAAGATCGTGCTCTATTATTCTATTAATATTTTCCAGATTACCTATTCTTAACTTGATTAACAATTGGAGGTAAATTTAACCTCTAAATTTATTCTTAACCTATGATTATCAAAGATTCATTCAAAGAGAATTGAGATTTTTTCCTACTTATTTATGCCTAGCACACGAGGATATACTAAATGATTGAGGTACTAACGTAAGACAATCGGTCGATGCATTTAAACACCTTCGTCTCGCAACATATGGTTACATAACGATCACAATACCTTACAAAATTTTCCAAAGAAAATTCCTTTCCATTTCATTCGTTAAACAGATTTAATTAAAATTTATTTTTTTTTTTCCTCTAAATTTTCGCTTAATAATATTAGTATCGCATCTAATTTCTATATGTTTCATTGGGGTGATATAGTCGCGTATCGTGTACTTTAGAATTGAATGCGTTACGTACATATATTAGAAAAAGGACGAAATTTCAATTTTATTTTATTTATATATACTTTCCTCCTAATCTACATCCCAAGTGAGGGGCAGAAGAAATCTTCGATTTAACACAAAAATGTTTATACAGATGCCTGTCTAAGAATTACGATAAGTTGCAAAAATGCAATTTACTTTTGCACAGATATCTCTCACTAAAAATATCAAATTTCTGGGACTTTATTACCTAATTCTTTTCGATTTCAATTCAACTCATTCAACTGTTAAAAGCTAAAAGAACTCAAGAGTGATTACTAAACCAAAAATGCTATTAAGGCAATCAAAACATTTTATACGCAACGCAAATGTTTTATTTCCTTTTACATCTCTGTCAAATAAGTTTATTTGCCTAATACTGCTTAAAGTACATTCAGCGTTTAAATATTACGTAGGGAAGCGTGGCAAAGATAGAAAAAGGAAGGAAGAAAAGTGAAGGCGTATCATTTTTATGTTTGCAACTTCATCAATCTTGTTGTCTTCGTTGGGGATCAAGCTTATGTAAAGGATTTTCAGATATATTAAATGAATTCTTTATATATTTTTAAGTGGCTTCATAATAAACGTAGACATTTCTCGTAGTATAATAAGTCCGTGAAATTTTTCCTAATGACTTAGAAGACATTAGCGATCGACTCGTTAAATTCGTATTAACTTTTTCATCTTCGTAATCAATATAACAACAAGAAAGAAAACTAGAATTCATAATCATCGGCTCCAACTCTACAACTTGCCATTTAAAAAGGCGATATACACTCAAAAATAGAGTTGTAATTACATTAAGTAATTTACTTTATCACTTATGTCCTAAAGTTGGATTTGAAGTTCGCCTAAAGTGGTGTAACTGTAATAAAACAAAAGTCGTACGAAAAAATGCTCACACTTACCTATCTCTCATAGATCGCAACGACAATGGCGACAGAAGGCGGCTTTGGCGAATTTTGTCTTTAAAGATAGCACATAGGAAAGGTGCTAAAGAAACACATTTGTTTCACTTATTTCCTAGGAACTCTTTGTACTTTCTTATTGTCTATACTCTTAGAATTTATTTTTGACATTCTTTTGACCTTCTATGTCCTTGTCTTTAACGATTATTCTTTCTAAATAACTTAAGATATCTATCGATGTAGCTTTAAAAATTGTAAATATTGAATAAAAAGATTAAATCCTTAACATGTAATTACTCGATTTAGTTTTCATTGAAAGTTTGTTTTCACATTTATTCTTTGTTTCAATTATGCATCTGAAATTATTGGAACAGAGTCTATTTTATATAGTATGAGTCGTCTTACAAAAAAAAAATTCATCTTGTCTAATGCTCAACTATCGACAACAATAGCAACATAAATGAATTATGCAGAAACTTTCTTACAAGGAAAACCATTAAGAAAATTATATTCGATTGTAATCGACTTTTTTATGCTCATCGCCGTTATTTTATTTTAAAAATTAGTGAGAAAAACAAGAAAAAAACTAAATTTTTATTGAATGGGCGTGGCTGATTTTTTCTATTTTTTAGTATAAACGCGGAAATATATATCGTGTATCTGTTGCCGTTTATGAGTAACGCGGATAGCAAACGTGTTCTTAGTTCTTTTTTTAAATAGGCTTATCCATTGACCGGTTTGCGTCACATCCAAATTCTTTTGCAAATTTGAAGGCGGTGTCTTCATTTTTGAGTGCGGGCGAATGTTTACCGCAGACGTTATACGATTAAGCAGATGGACAATAGACAGACGAAGAGACTCGATATGCTTAAGTGCATTCCGAATTTGAAACTGCCTAAGATTTTATATATAGTTTAGGGGGTTTTCGAAGCTTGACTCTGCACGTTATTAAAGTTTTGCCAAAAATTGAAAATTTAATACACTATAGTCTTGGGCAGGGGTCACCGATTGCAATATCGCCCGTAGAATACATGTTCAAATTCCTCGACATTTATCTGCTATGGTTTGCCAGTAATGAGCAAAATATCAATTTTTTATTTCTTTTGGAAAACAGAGGTGTTCTTAGTCTATGTAGTATTATAAGCGTGTCCTTTAACCGATTTGGACCACTTTCAATATCCACGTGCATGCTGGGACTTCCAAAATTTCTGCCAAATTTGAAGTTGATAGCTCAAGTTTTGGGGCCAGGAGAATATTTACAACAAATATTACACAGACGAACAAACACATATGGACAGACGAACGTGCTTAAATCAGTTCAGAATTTGATACTGATCGAGGATATATATATTTTGTGGGGTCCGTGAAGTTTCGGTCGGGGCGGTGCAAACGTTCCGACGCAATGAATATACCCCTCTGTCATCGATGATGGATATAAAAAAAAAAAAAAAATTTTACATAAATCCTCTAGTATTTGAGACGAGCTCAGTTTGTAGTTTTTTTTATTTTTTTTTTTATTATTAATAACTTTTAATTCTTTCCATTTTAACTGGCAGGAAGTTCAAATAGGTCTTAACTATGAATTATCCAAAATCAGGAATTTGTAGGTATATGCCAAGTTTAATGATGGACTTCGGATTAAATCCATTAAAATTTGATCTGTGTCAAAAGTTCCAAACTTTAATTTCGAACGGACATATAGACGGATCCTAATGAATAGTGAAATTACATAAAAATTCCACTAAACAATTAACTGCTCTGAAGCTTTTATTTCAACATTATAGCATTGGCTTTCTCATGTCCGTTTACATTGCTTATCATGTGTTTAAATTATGTTTTCGGGTCTGAAAACAAAGCGAAGCTTCATTGTATTTTCACGCTTACTGCTTTGATAATTATAAATTATTTCGAGCGCATAAAAATCGTTGTCGTAACGAATGGTAATTGATTTCAGTGTAAAATAACGATTGCCGGCAACATTGGTAGCCAATAAAAAATGTGGTTTATTTTGTTTTTTTCCTGTTTAATCCTTCCATTCTTACGAACATCGAGATTAAGCAAATTTTAAAAACTTAGGATACTAAGCAATGCGATTTATTTCGTTATTCTAAGACACTGACGAATTGTACAAAATCTGCTCTAAAAAATGTTTCATTTTCATTTGATTCATTCTTTTGTTATTCAAAGGCTGTTAAAGTCTATCGCTGAATTAATTTGTCAACGCCTTTCAATTATCAATAATATGATTAACCTCGGTAACTTTATTCAATTCTAATTAGTTAATTATATTGCAATTGTTGCAAACAAATAAACGCCTCGTTAAAAAAAAATGATTAAATTACAAGGAAACGAGTCGTTATATCATTCAGCGTCAGCGAATTATGAAAGTTCAATGAGT